CCACAAATCCGCACCAGATCGGCCAGAAAGTCAGGTTTAAACTCAGGTTGTGCTGCTCCATATACAACAACTAGCGACCAACGGAACCCATCCAGCTTTGATCTTACCCTGAATTTAACCGAAAAGTCCCCTTGAACCACAGTAAGCACCTCTAAAGTCTCACATCGTACTCCTAGTAAGATCCCACCGGATCTTCCTCTAGGGGGTAAAATGTGCGAGTCAAAATTGATACCACTGGAGAGTGTTTGAAGAAACTGTGATGTGAAATTATCTCGTTCAGTTTACAAGAGTGCAATAAAATCTAAGTGTTGTTCTAACGTTGTCTCTGCTAAGAATCTTTGTTTAGCCAAGTCAGCTAGACCTCTGCTATTCCAAAAGAGTCCTTTCATACATAAATAGCAAATTATCATATATTCATTTATATGAAGTGTAGTTCTCTAGACGGATGGTTTAAATTACATATGGCTTAATTTGATTTTACGTCAGAGTTGGTGGGTTTCGGAATGGTGCCCTCGTCATTACCAAATGTTCGTGGCGGCCGTGATGTAGGAGGGAACTCCTATTTCAACTCCGGTCGGAGCTCCATGTTAATCCGTGTTGGCATCATCAAGATGGAAGTTAGCATCATAAACGGTTGTGGCCACCGTGACGATGTAGCCTGGGCCTTTGTACCCATCCGTGCCGACACAATTGAGATGGAGGCCAGCATCATGCATGGATATGACATCCAATGCGACGTCATCAGGAACTTCGCTGATTATTATCTTTGTCACCTCTCCATAGCAACTCATATAGAAAAGATCTCTATTTGTGTGGCTTCATAGTGAAACATGTCAATTTGTTTCTCCTGTTGCAACGCACGGGCATACGTACTAGTAATTTACAATTTAAGGTTTTCAATCCTTACATCATTCAATCAACATTGTTATGAAGATAAGTAAGAAATAAAATTCATCGAGTTACCACTCAAAAAAAATCATCAAGTTTACATAATGTGCACTTCAACAATCAAGTTGACTTGTTTTGAGATAAATCAAAAGATGCTTGATTAATTTCTTCGGGGGTATAGGTCTGGACTGGCGTCCTAATTAGTTGCATGTTCATTTGTTTGGATATTAAAGTTCTCACATAATTTGTGCGTTGTGTGAGAGTTCGTACTATAAAAGTTGTGCCACCGGAGCCACCACCGCTGTGCAACCGGAGCCACCAGAGGCCAGCCTGCCACCGGCCCGACCAGGGACCACGCCCCACAAGGCAGGCCAGGGGGGGCACCCGCCCCGACTCGTCGCAAAGGAGCAGCCGGGCCGAAGACCAGGCGCCCGTCGACGGAGCTTCCACGGCTACCGCCTGCGAGAGCCGCTGCCCAGGAGCCGTCCTGCCGGAGAAGGAGGCCCAGGGGCCCATCGGCGACGCAGCCGAAGCCCCTGGCCGGATACATCGCGCGACGCAGAAGAGAATCGAGCCTCCCTACCCAGAGCTCCCGCGCCCTGACGAGAGGAAATCGCCCCGCCGCCGCCGCCCGGGCTTAGCCCGACGGCCTCCTCCGTTGACGGCGAGGGGAGGAAGGGGGGGCGGGAGGGCGGCGTGGCTAGGTTTTAGTTAGCAACAAAGCGCTTGTCACATATTTAGCTAAGGCCGCACGATGTTGTGTTAGCAATAGACAGTTTGAGATATGTTTCCGCAGTGCTCAGTGAAAGCAAAGCCATGCAAGTTTTTTTTTGGAAAAACAGGGCCTTACGCCGGCTCCACTTTTTATTAGATGAAACCAAACCGTTCACAGAACCAAGTTGGGAGCACTCGAACCACCTGACACATGTGGCAAGCAATCCAAACAATTCAAAAAAAAAAGTTAGGAGCACTCGAGGTAGGCACAGCCGCACAGGTACCATACCCAGAAATGAAACAGCAAAGCAGAACAGGCCTCATGGCCGTTCGCAGACAAACAAGTTCCCTGCTTCCCTACTGGATCTGCCAAACAGCAGGGACAAACACAGGGACTATGCCTCGAAAATTAACAACCGCATAAAGAGAGCTGACAGTATAAACCCGAGAGGAAGATAGCTTCCACATAAGGGCATCCTCGTCCCCAGAGAAAGAAATAGATCTAACAATACTGGTCAGGTCAAACCACTGTTGGAGGAGCCTATCATCTACACATCTTCTGAATTTTTTTTTTGGGGGGGGGTACATCTTCTGAAATTTAACTTCAGGTCCACCCCATCCCAGGATCAGCAAGTTTGTTGATGGTATTTGACTATTTGATGAGTTGCGTACCTGCATACTCTGTATGGTTGCTCAACTCAGGGAGTCAGGCAGATTGCTGGAATTTTGCCCAAAACCAACTCATCATATGTTGGCCTGGGTTCTCAGTTTCCGTTTTGCCTGAATTTGGGAACAATCCATGTGTTCGCGTGCTTGGCGGAATTCAAATTACGTAATGGATCAAATCAAATAGAGTAGTAATTTGTTCTTGGTTTGTTGAAGTTCTATAGCCATCTCTGAAAAAAGCAAAGCTGCGATTCAGATATCGTTCCTGCTGTTTTGTGTGGTGTACACGAACAGACATGCCACATGAACACATAAGTTTTAGTATGCATGCCAGCGCAAATCCGTTGTAGTCTAGGTGGTTAGGATACTCGTCTCTCACCCGAGAGACCCGGGTTCAAGTCCCGTCGACCTAAGTGCAAACTTTTTTTTTTTTGTTAATTGACTGGCCATGCAACCGAACAAAGCAAGAGACTACTCTCCTTTTGTACTAATTCAGATTCAAATGATATCTTTGTGCTCGAAAATTTGGTGAGAAAACCATGCAACCGAACAAAGCAAGAGACTACCCCTGGTTTTGCTCTCCTCTCATGGAAGAGGAACCATGGGCCGAGGGCACATGCAGACACGAACATTGACATCGCCAAAGCAAATGCAGTAGCTACAGAAGTTATGGAGTAAGAAAGTCTTTGACCTCTGGAGCGCAAGACTTCAACTCCTTCCATCGACCCCTCCTCCCCTCCTACAAATAGCTCCCTGCACCCTCCATCCCTTCTCTCACCACTGCAGTCCTGCTCTCCTCTGAAATTTGCATTCTTCTGTTCCGCCTGCAGCGAGGAAGCCATTGTAGGAGGTGGGAAAGGAGGGATCTACTATCTAATTAATAGAGATTTTTGGGTTGTATTCTCAGATTGCTGCCTCCCCATTGTTTCTTAATCAGTGTTTTTTTGATGGTGTTTGCTTTGTCAGGTGGTAAGAAGCTTGGAAAACATGGCCGCGATGGGTGGGCACCAGAGGCTGATGATGGAGGATGCGGCGGAGGACACGTTCCCGGAGGGGTTGCGTGTGCTCGCGGTGGACGACGACCGCGTCTGCCTCAAGGTACTAGAGGCCCTCTTGCGCCGCTGCAAATACAGCCGTGAGTCTCTTTTCTTGATCCCTCCACATCGCCATGGTCCATTAGATCAGAATCGGAGCCCTGTGATCTTTTCGTCTCTCGCTCGCTGCTATGCAGCAACGACGGTGATGGATGCCAAGACGGCGCTGAAGATGCTCAGATCGGGGAAGGAGGAATTCGACATGGTCATCACCGACGTGCGCATGCCGGACATGGACGGCTTCAAGCTCCTCGAGCTCATCGGCTTCGAGATGGATCTGCCCGTCATCAGTATACACTCACTACTCAACCCGAAGTCCTAATTTTATTTTTGCATGTACTCCCTCTGTAAACTAATATAAGAGCGTTTAGATCACTACTTTAGTATTCTAAACGCTCTTATATTAGTTTACGGAGGGAGTACAACTGTTTTTAAGGAGTACTTTTACTCCAGAATCTTGAAGATACACTGAAACGGTATGTATTCCTTTAATTGGGCAGCATGTGAGATCCTACATTTTTAGGAGGATTTTGTGAAATCACATATGCACAGCATGCACACACTATTTTTAACTTTGAGAAAGTCTAAAGAGTGAGGTCCCCAGACTGAACCAGTGGGATCCCATCTAACCGTTCATCCGTTTGATCGGATGGCCACTGGGGTAGCAGAGCGGAGGTGGATCGACACATAAATTAGGAGGGGGGGCGCAGGATCCATACATAGTGGTGTCGGTTCCTCCCCGAACCAATGGGATCCTATTTGACTATACATCCATCAGATCGAATGGGTAGTGGCGGAGGGGAATGAAGGTGGATATGGTCGCATGTGAGTTATGATATCCTATTAATTAATGACTTCAATATTTGTGTTAAGTGTGTTTAGTATGCTAGAGAGATGGTCATGTATCCCATTTAGTTAAGCAACAAGATATTTTTCTTTCTGTAGGAACTGGTTCTATTTTCGATCAATTTATGTCCCAATTACATTCAAACATGTCGTATGGATTATATACATCTGTTTTTACTAATTTAATAAGTAATGCCGAAGTCTAGAGTTCAGTATCATGCATACAATATATATGGGTAATCTAGCTTAGTAAGAGTACGTATCACTCCAATGCAATGTAGACCCCACTATGTACGTGTTCGATGGGTGCATTTATGGACATTATTTAATTTTGTATTGTGTAAATTGTGAAATCCTAGTCATAAGAACTAAATCTATAATATATCCTTTTTCCATGATATGGCAAAATTATGTTTAATTGTTTTCTAAACTATCTTAAATTTCTAGTCTTTCCAATTACAAAAAGTATACAACTGCACCATACCTGTTTTCTATGGTGGCATGAGTAATACAATTCCGAAACCAGAGAAGTTGTATTGACATTATTCAAGGATTATTCATCTTTAATATCCTTGAGATTGTTAGTAGTTAAAACTATCTACTCTTGAGAATAGCATATAAAGTAGGAGTGCCACTTCTAAGAAGATACATTGAGTAGGTCACCCATGTATCATATCAAAATCGTGCAGATGAGTCTAAACAAGAAAACTATTATGCTGTCACATTATTTTTGAAAGGAAGTGCAACCACAAATATTTATTTTTCTAAATTTTAATAAAATCCCCATAGGTTATATCGCTTACCATATAAAAACTAATATGTGTGTGACCGCTTAACATGCTCAAAACATTGCTTGGGCCGACAATTGTTCACTAGTATGATAGAGAAACATGTTCAACAATATGTAATAGATCTTGTGGTTCACCAATAGTTTGATGTGGTGATCTGATTTACCTAGTTGGAACATGTTGTGATGATGGTTTAGGCATTGTGTTACAGTTATTTTCTTACAATTGTATTGAGTGTGTGAATGTTTTCCCATTTAGTTTGCATTGAAACACCGGATTTATCATAGTCATGATATCATTTGAAAATCATGTGTAACATTTTTGCTTCCCCACTTGCACAGCACATTTGGAAAACAGCGAAGCCATTTTTCTGTCTATAAGCACTCGGACAAAAATTTATGCTCAATTTAATAGATTTTGTTGAACGTTTGAATTCCAACGATAAGTTGTTGGTCGTATGGCATGCAGTGCTATCAGTGGATTGCGACAAGAAAGCCGTGATGAAGGGGATAAACCATGGGGCGTGTGACTATTTGATGAAGCCAGTGCAAACCAACCAGCTCAAAAACATATGGCAGCATGTTGAGAGTAGGAGAAGATCCCAATCAATAAGCCACATGAGTAGGGATAATGATGACGGCCAGAGAGTACATACTGGGACTCTTGCCAAGAGTAAGGACTCAAAGAGTAAGAGCAATGATGAAGATGGTTCTAATGAGAACAAAGAGAGCACTCATGCATCCACTACCCAGAAGAAGATGAGGGTGGCATGGACAACTGAGCTTCATAACAAGTTTCTAGAAGCTATCTACCAGATCGGCCTTGAATGTAAGAAAACATATGTTGCGCCTCATTCATTGACACAACACTTTGTGGTTATTTGATATTATTTGTTAACAAATATTTTTATGACATTTTTGTAGAGGCTGCTCCAAACAAGATATTGGAGCTGATGAATGTGGATTACCTCACTAGACATAATATTGCGAGTCATCTACAGGTTTATTTTTATTCCTTGTGCTTATTTTTGATGTTTGCGTTTCTATTATTCATAGTCTAACATTTTTTCACATATATAAGTGCAAGCTTTTATTTTGTGGGAACATAACAATCAAAGCTTTAGTAATGCACGGATCACGAAGATGTGTGTTATTATAATTCCTTTTGTCCCTGGAGATGGATGGCATATCTTGTAAAATGCATGACCCACACATTCTATTAGAACCCGTGCAACACTTTTAGTTTTTCTTGTTCCCACATGTCATCCATTACTTTTTTTCCCATGAGCATGCATCTCATACATGGTTATTTTGTCTATATTTTTATTTCAGAAGTATAGATTGTACTTGAATAGAGTCAAATCAAATCCACTCGGTGATGCAAGGGAGAGACAAAACTCATCCATGGGGAATCAGAGGAATTTTATGCATAACCATGAGCATGGAAGATGGCATGTGTCCTCGTGTAGCAACCCCTCCTGGATTCCAAATTATTTCGGTGCAACTAGTCAATTAGGCCAGCTGACGGACAATCAGAGCAACTTGTGCATGGGGTCGTTAATCCATGGTGGAAGAATGTCGAGGTATTTGGTTCCAAACACACCGGATGCGAGAAGATTTGCAGATCCCGAAGACCCTCCCATTAGCCTATACAATGGCATACTCGATGACATAATGTTAGATGAATTTTCCTCGTATAGCTCTGGTACTTCCTATGTTGACTCCATGCGTGGAAAGTTGATGGAGACAAGTAAAGGAAAAACCCCATCAAATCTTCGAAGTCACTTAACAAACACATCAGGTGGTGGCGGGAGCTCGGCACCCACAAATGAGTACCAGGTGCAACCTCTCGAGTCTATTAACCATTATCATACCCACATGAATGCACCTTCTACACAGATGCTTGGCATAGTTGTTCCATTTTTCTAGGATTTGCTGGGAACTATAATAACCCCCGATGGTCTTCAATGCAGGTAAACTTGACCGGTATTCTTCATAGGGGTGGAACATCTCATGTCCCGCCACGTGTGAATATACCAACGATCAACCAATTGACAAGCTATGAAACACCATCTAGCGGAATGTTGATGCAAAATCAATTGCCACCATTCATTGGCAACACCATATCAGTGGCAGGTTTCAATGAACAAATAGTTCCATTCAACATACCTACTAACCCAAGCTCTGTAGGGATATTGAATGCGCACAACACTACTCCAGTGACGCCATCTCAGATGGTTAACAGAGGTAGCATCACTACATTATGATCAGGTTTCAATGAAAAAATATCGCCATTCAACATAGCAAACAACACAAGCTCAGTAGGGACGATGTTGAATGGCAATTCTGCACTTGGTGTTGGTAGCACTTCAAAACCCGAGATTAATATGGTTAATTGTGGAAGAACTATTTCCACACTTTCCAACCTTCGGACAGATGGTTTCGTCGAATTAACTCCAATGCCTGATGGCGGGGATGTAGTTGGCATTCTTCCTATGCAAGAAAGTATGGTTAATCAGCAAGAGCCTAATGATCTACTTAATGACATTAATGACTTGTCATCGGATGATATTGCCAACCTTCTAAATGACGTAAGAACATTTCTTATTAACATGTATCACATCTTTGCATATGAATTGTCGAGCTAGACAAGTGTATTTAAATCATCTTTTCTCACTGTAGGGTTCCATTGGAGAGGATGCTATCATGGATGGATAGTGATGCCGGTCAGCACGGCATAAGGTGTTTTTGCATGTGTGTTGGACAGTTGTTGATTGATCATTCCTTTAATTTTGCCAACTGTGCCATGAAACTATTTGAATTATCGTTGTCTAGTTAGAAGCATGATTGTTTTAGTGCTTCTATTTTACATCACCTTTAGTTTTTAAGTATGTGTTGTATTTTGAGATAAAAATAATCTTTTGTTATGCCAGATGTAACTACTTTTCTTCTGTATGATATCAATGAGATGTTGCATCTTCCTCTGAGAAAACATGTAGCGTCCCTGAGAGAGGCACTATACAGATCTAGCACCTCCTCTAGAGTATGCATGGTATCATTCCCAATACGCCCACCAAAGACATCGTGCACATGACATGCACTTTATGAAGGTAGAACGGTAGTATCACAACACAATTTCATAACAGATCTGCAACACCGCCATGGTCAGTGCCGGCGGCAGGTCCAAGGAGATTCCCACCACCGGGTTCCACATCTACCAGCCTCCATCCTCTCTTCGGGGCTGGCCTAACGACCACAATACGGAGCCCGCCCTCCGCCACCTCAGCCTCCTCGACTTCATGTGGCTCCAACTCCTAGATGGTATCCCCCGACACGACCTCATCTTCCACCTTGTCGCCTCCTACCACATGCAGAGGCAATGTAGCTACTGCTCCTGCGCCTACATCTGTGGGACCCGCGTCAATGTCAACCACAAGTCCTTCCTCAACACAACAGGCCTCCAACTCCAACCCATGACGGAGCACAAAGAGCTCCCTCCCAACTTGAACCTGGCCACGGTTACCTGCGTCGTCTTGCAGTTCAGGGAAATGTGGATCCTCCCCGAGTTCCATGGCAGAGACATGTTGCCATAAAATGTGTCGGCCATGATGGAGAAAGTAAAGGTGGGGTTAGCGCATTGGCTGGGCTCAGCTGATCTGGTACCTAGCTAGTCCGAAATGAGATTCTCAAATTGCCAACGAGGGATGATAAAAAATCATACTCTGGGGTGCATCTTCTTACACTCATTTGGGTAAAGGATCAAGATGTGTTCAGGACGATGGACAGGATGGTGGACAGATTAAAAAAACTCATTCAGGAGGAATTTCAGAGGCAGACAGGTGGTCAAAAACCTGTCCAAACTAGTGGGGCCTGGGGATGAAACGTCAGCTAGCAGTTGTTCGAGTTCAACAGCAAAACCCTCTAAAAAGCAGCAAGCCATGGTGGTGCAACTGCTGGCGTTGTTCAGCTATTGGGGCCTGGAGATAATGTTTTTTTCTTGATTTTCATCATACGGGTGTCATGTTGACTCTAGAGAATTGCATCGAACGTCACACGCTCCCTTATATAACCCTTATCCCCCATGAAACCCTAAGCACCAACCGTTGCCGTGGGCCTATCTGATGGGGCTCCCTCCCAGCCGGCGGCTCTCTACACTCCAATGGATCCCTCCATGTGTTGTTCACCATACAACAACAAATCGAGGTTCACGCACAACATCGAGACCAGCAGCGGAGGTGGGTTCGGCGGGTGCTTCTCTGCGGCAATCGAGGACCGGCGTGTAGATGTGGATGGCGACGGCGATGTGGCTGCCTATGGGACTTGAGAAATTTTATCATTGTTCTCACAGGCAAAACTGGCAAGGTCATTTCTCTTTCTCCAGCCAGTACCAGGTAGTTTGTCTATAAATGAAGTTCTTTCGCCGGGGCTATGTTTTATTGTTAAGAATATATCAGATGTGGTGCAACTTAGCAGTCTTAATTCTTAAAGACAAATTTCATCGAAGACTTGACATGTAAGCTCCTCCTCTGTACATACATGCTCACTGTTTATCCAGAATTCGAAATGCACTACCTGACCATTTGGACTTCCCTAGTTGATAAAGGAAAGACAGATTCACCCTGAACCTGAATCTCAATAATCTCTTCAGTAGTGTTAACTGTTAAGGCTTCAGGATGCTTCTCTAGGTGATGGACAGTTATCAAAGAGAGCTACAGTGAGCAAATGTAGCTGTTGCTCGGTTCAGGGATGTTGCCACCCATGTCTGAATTCAAGCAAAGCTGCGATTCAGCTCTAACGTTCGTGCTGTTTTGTGTTGTGTACAGGACAGACATGTCACCACAATAGATACGTTTTAGTATTTCCACAATCAGCATTCCGTCGTAGTCTAGGTGGTTAGGATACTCGGCTCTCACCCGAGGGACCCGGTTTCAAGTCCCGGCGACGGAATTCTTTTTTTGCTTCCTAACTTTCCCTACTGTGTTGCCATTTTTAATTTTTGAGATTGCTTTGTAAGTTTTTGGTGAAAGCAAATGCTTGCAAGGTAAATCTGAGCAAGCTGATGGCCAGTTTGTGTTGGTAGCCTTTAACCTGACGGTTGATGATTCCAAGATTTTTAATTCGGGGCCGTGGGTCAGCTTGTGCTGCCGATCCACTGGGAGGCATTTGATCATCTGACCAGCGTACGTATGCGTTGCCTGGTCCGGCAGCTCTCTGACCTTGTGTCGTGCTTCGCCGCCGCCGAGGAAGACGAACGCGCCGTGGAGTGCCCTATCTGCCTCCACGTGCGTAGGCTTTATCATTCCACTCACTGCTTGTCTGCTTCGGAGAGTTGGTCTTCTCCGTTGTGTTGTTCTCATAATTTTCTGTCCTCGGTCGATCAATCGATGCAGTTCTACACGACTTTGGATCGATCCAAGTCCTGCGGCAAAGAGATCTGCACAGGTGACCCGTTACAATTCCCCTTGATTTCTGTCCAATTATTTGCTCGAATTTGTACTGAAATTCAGAAGTTTTCAGTACACACATGCACGATAGCGGAGGGAGTGGTATTTTCCTACGTTATACTGCCATGTTTCATTGTCCCGCAGAGTGCTTCTTGCAGCCGATGCCGTCGAAGACTTCCGGAGCTGTCCAGTATCCTGTGTTTTGCTACCTAGCTACTGTGCAATACTCTGCAACTGTCTCCTATAACATCTCTAATAAATTCGATCTCAATGCTCTCTGCTACATGTGGATTGGGGACGAACCGTTCCATACTATAAAATACTTATCTTACCTTCATTGCTGGGGAGAATATCTTACCTTCATTGTTGTATCTGAAATTAGTGTGGGGGTCCTTAACTAGCAATGCAGCTATCCTTGCTGCAAAACCACAGCCTACACTGTTGAATATCGAGTGCTAGAACCTTAAGTGAGAAGAAACTTC